TTATAACGTCTTTGTCTGATGTGTCATTGCTAAAGCCAAGGGATTTTCAATCGCTTCATATGCATGTGAAACTTGAACTCTGAATAAAGACGACCAAAGAAGAATCAATGCAATTATGGTGCTAGCAAAGAATATCGAAAATATTGAAAGTACCACGAACTGACAAAAGAACCAACAATCTGTCTTGGAAGAAGTACAACCAGAATGCTCCTTAGCGGCATGTATGGCAAGACTTCATCTTACGTGCTTTGGATATGTTTTCAGGACAGATGGACAAGAACACCCTGGGGACGTGCGCAGCAGCGGAGGGGAGGAAGGCCCTCAACCAGACGGACTGACGCAGTGACTGCTGCAAGAACAATGCCGAGGAAGCTGCGGGACTGGGCGGTGCTGCATTCTGTTGTACATCGCATTCTGATGACTTGTAAGCGAGCAGCTGACAACACGCCGTTTCTTGACATTTAGGGATGATAGGGCCCCAGGCATCTCTGCTCAAAGGCAAGAAGCTGACAGAGTTCTGAGAGGTGTGGTCCCTAGTTCTGCTTGCATCAGAAGCGCTTCTTTCAGTCCATAGGGTGCAGTTCCCGAAGGTTTCCTGGAGCCTGGGGCTATTTGCAATGCACATGGAAAACTAATGATGATCATAGCTTGGCCCAGCTCCCTGTGTGGGTTCTCTCATTTGTCCTCTGTCGGGTCTGAGGAATGGGCACTATCACCCCCATTGTAGGGCAGAGGTAATGAAGCACAGGAAGAGTAAACTTCCAGCCTCTGACCAGTGAGCAGGCCGCCAGATTTACGGGCAGCAGCTTTCCATCCTGGCCTCCCCGATGGATGGTACCAGAGGTGCCAAGGAGTAGTTGGCTGGCACAGCAGCCTGGTTGCCACCCTTGATGTCCATGGCCCTGTCCATGGTCACCAAAGCAAACTGGCTGTCCAGTCCTTTCTCAGCTTGGTCTCGGGCACTCCTCCCAATAGCCCTAGGAGATAGTGAGTCACAGGCCCGAGGTCACACAGCCAGTAATCGGCCAGTTCACACCCAATGTTTGCCTTCCCAAAGGCCTGTATTATCTGCCTGTTGCTACTGGCCCAGTGAAGAATCGAGGAAAAACTCCCCATCTCTAGATTCTTAACTTAATCACAGCTGCCGAGTTCCTCTTGTCATTTAAGGTAAGGCATTCATGGGTTTTAGGGATTAGGATGTGGACATATAATTAGAGGGATCATTATTTGGCTTAAGAAGGGGGCACCTATGCTACAGGAGTCTCTTGTTGAGGGCAGGACCGTGAAGCTGCTGTCTGCATCCACTGTACCCCCAGGGGTGGACACACAGCTGTGTCAGCACACAGTTCATGAGGGGCCGTGTCACCTCCAGGTGGTGACACAGGATGGCTGCCCCACAGAATCTGAGAGAGCTCTCCTGGTGTTTGGTTTGCAGGGAGCCTAACTCTGCCCGCCTCCATCTGGCCCTAGACATCTTGAACTGGGGTACCCATGCCTGGGGGATATACAGTGTTACCAAAAAACCCCAAAATGCTAAAACAAAAATGAACAAAATCACTGCCACTGAGCCAACTTCCACTCATGACAACCCCAAAGGACAGGGTAGAACTACCCTGTGTGTTGCTGAGATTGTAACAGTTTATGGGAATAGGAAGCCTCATTTTTCTCCCAGAGAGAGATTGGTGATTTCGAACTGCTGGTCTTGTGATTAGCAGCCCACAGTAAGTAGTACCAGGGCACAGGAAACTACAGTCAGAATCTCAAATTTATGTGGTGGGGGGAGGGTGGAAAAGCTGCATGCTTATCAAGACTGCAGAATAGGGGACCAAGTCCAGTGAGCCGCTTCAGACAAGAGTCCAGCAGTTCACACTTCTTCACCTTTGAGGGTGTTGGGGGAGACATTTGGGGGAGCCAATTGCTGGTTTCACTCTTTTCCTATCCTTGTCAGGATTCAGATCCACCACACCTGATCTCTGGACACACACACACACACACACACACACACACACACACACACGATCTCCAGGTCATTCTCGAATAGAAAGGACTGGGTTTTCCACAGGGGCTGTCTCTATATCTTCGGTTTTGGGGACAGCTGGGATCACAGGACAGGAAGGATTTGCTATTCAGAGATGAGGGCTCTGAGAGTCCAGCGCTGGGGCTGAGGACAGGGGTAGGGGTACCTTCAAGGCCTGTGTGTCTAAAGATGAGGGGCAGAGCAATTGTGTGTGACAAAGAGGAGTGGTTGACCTTACATCGAGTAGAAATTTAACTGGCTAAAAGTAATCTTAATCTTTCATGAGCTCTGCTGATTAACACTGTAGCTTAATAATACATATCATTTCAAATATCATTTTTTAGGATGAAGGAGTAAACAAATGAGACATCTGACCATTTCTTTAGCCAGCTGTGGTGTCCTCTGGTCTGCCCAGGCCCTTCACACTTGCACTTACCTGTGCCCTTGCCCATCCTTCCCTGGTGGGTGGCTCTCTGTCATTCTCTGAGACCCAGCCTCAGGATCAGGGACTGTGCTGCCCACACTCCCACTGTCCTTCACTAGCCCAAGGTCACAACTGTTCAGGACATAAACTATGAGTCTCACAGACTCTGGGTGGGAGCCCAACACCCTGTCATTTCATATCCAGAAGAAACACATATTTGGTGCCAAGTGGCTCAAAAATAATACAGGTGCTTAATTTTTAAAGTGGCAGGGAATTAACTCAGACAGCATGACACTTTCTAGAAATTCTTGAACACTCTTGCCCCCAAGACCCATTCATCCCAACAAAGGTCCTTCTCTCTGGAACCTCTCTTCTCTTCCCCTCTAGCCAGACACCCTCTCTTTAATGCCCCAGGGCCCTCCCTCCACCCAGACATGGTTTTAAGCAGGCTAGTTGGCTGCCCTGTTCTCCAGCTGCTGGGGTCTCCCCCATCGCCCCACAGCCTGCCAGGGTGCCCATGAGCACAGGCTTCAGAGTCTCCCATTGTAATATATAGTTTTAAATATACCACATGGATCTTTCTTTGTTTGCTCACCTCCTTTAGTCTTTCTCCTTCACATCCCTGGAGGCATTTTCATTTTATTAAGAAAGGAGGGGGTGGGGGTGGGGTGGACTGAAAAGGACTGGGAAGGTAAATCTCAATGGCTCATGCCTCTGTGTGGTGGAGGGAGCCTTACAAGCGTAGGTTGGGCGTTCAGAGGCCCTGGCGGCAGTGGAAGTGGTCCATTTCCCGGACCTGGCCTGGGGGCCAGGAGACCTGGGTTTCACTTCTTGCTGAGCTCGAATGGCTGTGATGACTTGTGACTTCTCGGCCGAGGTGTGCGCTGTGAGGGCTCCAACTAGGTCAGGAGCAGCAGGCAAAGATCTTTTTTATCTGGTGTTTTATGTAGAAAAACGTCTAACCGACAGAAAAGTTGAAAGTCCAGTACCACCAGCGCCACACATTAATATTTTGTCAAATTTCTTTATCTTCTTTTTAAATCGTTTTATTGGGGGATCATACAACTCTTATCACAATCCATCCATACATCCATTGTGTCAAGCACATTTGTACATTTGTTGCCATCATCATTTTCAAAATATTTTCTTTCTACCTGAGCCCTTGGTAACAGCTCCTCATTTCCCCCCCTCCCTCCCTCCCTTATGAATCCTTGATAATTTCTAAATTATTATTATTTTTTCATATCTTACACTGACCGATGTCTCCCTTCACCCACTTTTCTGTCGTCTGACCCCCTGGGAGGGGGTTATAGGTGATCAGTTTCCCCTTTCTCCCCACACCGTCCCTTCCCCTCCTGGTATCACTACTCTCAATATTGATCCTGAGGGTTTTATCTGTCCTGGATTCCCTGTGTTTCCAGCCAAATTTCTTTAAGAGATATGAGGATCTTAATTTTTTATTATGATAAAAATCAAATATGGGGAGTGGGGAGGGAGCACTAGAACTGATTGTGATGATGATGTTAACAGTGGTGGAATAATTTGTAAAATGATATCAATAATGGTTATACAACACAAAGAGTATAATTCAATAGCACTGAATTATACATGTACAAGTTGTTCAAATGGAGAATATTTTGTTGTGTATATGTTTGTCACAATTAAAAAATTACATGAATATCAATGAGGAAGAAGAAAATGTTCTAAAATTGATTGTGGTAATGATTGTACAACTCTTCTTGATACAATTTAACTATTGAATTGTATGATATATAGATGAAGTTCCAATAACACTTAAAAAAAGAAAAATGTCAAATATATATGGAGATCTCAGAGAGGAGATGAAAATGAGCCAGGCCAATGATGTCCACATGGAAGAAGCACACCATCCTGTGTGATCATGAGGTGTCAACAGGATCAGGTATCAGGTATCAGAAGACCCCAAACAAACAAATGTACCGATGCAAATTATGGGGGTCGGCATGGAGGCTCAAAGTCCATCTGTAGACAATTGGACATTCCATCACAGAAGGGTCACAAGGAAAGAACGAGACAGCCAGGGTGCAACATAGCACAGACGGAACACACAACATTCCTCTAGTTCCTTAATGCTTCCTCCACCCCACTATCATGACCCCAGTTCTACTTTACAAATCCGGCTAGACCAGAGCATGCACACTGGTCCAGATAAGAGCTGGACACATGGACTCCAGGACAGATAAACCCCTCAGGAACAGTAATGGGAGTAAGGTGGGGGGAGGAGGGGAGAAATGGGGAATCAACTACAATGATCAATGTATAACTCCCCACCACCACGACCACCCCACCCCAGGGGGATGAACAACAGGACATGGGTGAAGGGAGACCGCGGGCAGTATGTAAGATATGAAAATAATAATAATTCATAATTTATCAGGGGTCCATGAGGGTGAGAGGGTGGGAGAGGGAGGGGAAAAAAGAGGAGCTGATACCAAAGGCTCAACAGAAAGAAAATGTTTTGAAAATGATGATGGCAAAATATGTACAAATATGCTTGATATAATTGATGTATGGATTGCTATAAGAGCTGTAAGAGCCCCCAATAAAATGATTTATTAATTTTTTTTTAAAGAAAGAAAACGAGCCAGGCATAATCATCACCAGCTTTAGCAATTAATTCCTGGGGATTCCCACTCCCTCCTGAACGATTTTAAAGCAAATCTAAGACTTCAGAGGATGTCAGACATACATGTCAGTATGAATCTCTACCGGTAAAAATTCTTAACTAGCCACAACAATTATCTCTCCATATTAAAAATGAGTAACAATTTCTCATGTCACCAAATATGGAGTCAGTGTCAACTTTCCATGATTGCTGTGTGTGTGTGTGTGTGTGTTTATGCCTGTGTGTGTGTGTTTATGCCTGTGTGTGTGTTTATGCCTGTGTGTGTGTTTATGCCTGTGTGTGTGTGTGTGTGTGCACGCGTGTGTTCATGTGCTCAAGTGCTTGGATGTGGCTTAACAAGCCAAACCCAAACATACAGCTACTGAGTGGAGTGAATTCCAATTCACAGGACTCACAGGACAGAGAAATGCCTCATGGATTTTCCAAGCTTGTAAATCTTTACGGAAGCAGACTGCCACACATTTCTCTCATGGAACAACTACCGGGTTGAGACCACCAGCCCTGAGGTTAGGGGTCAGCAGTTAATTATTGTGCCACTAGAACCCCACGTCTATTACAGCCTATTTAAATCAGTAGCTCACTGAGCACCCTTCACTGAAATTGGTTGATTTGTCTTTGAAGTCTGCAGGTGTCCTATCTCCATCGGGGCTCTCTCTCTGTGATTTTGTTGTTGAAGAGACTAGGCCATTTGGAAACAAAAAGAAGTCTTAAGGGGAAACATCAGGACTGTCGAGTGGATGGGATAAGGTTTCTTGACAGAATTATCAAAGGCCAGTGTTGCTGCCCTGGAAGAATGAGTGGCGGGTGCTTTGTCATCATGGGAATCATCTCTTAACACAGTTTTCTTGGCTTTCTGTGTCCTGCCAATGTGGTTTTCGATTTTCTTAAAACTTTCTCACACTCACCTCCTGTGATCATCCTGTGCCCATTTGAAAAAGTCCATCAAAATGATCCTTTTACAACAACAACAACAAAAGCCAGCAATCATAACCTCCTGAGCTAGCCCCTCTGCGTTGAACCTACCTGGCCCAGGAGATCCCCGCAGAAGCCACTGTCCTTGTCTTGCTGTGAATAGTGCCTTTCTGGTGGCAGAGTGGGCTAGCGGTTGGGAGGCAGTTCCAACTCACCAGCCATATATATATCAGCATATATATATATATATATGGTCTCCCTGTCCTATAGTAGCACCCTATAGTGCTGCTGTTAGGAGGTATATTTCCATTTATGGCAACCCCATTTGATGGGGTAGCATTGCATAGGATTTTCTAGGCTGTAGTCTTTTTTTAATAGTAGTTTTATTGACATATCTGACCCAATCCAATATATCCGTCCACAAACAATTCTGTTGTTCATTACCATCAAGTGGAATTAGACAATCATCAATGCTATTAGCTCTCCTTCCCCTTACTCCTCCCCTACCTTCTGGGTACCCTCAGGAACCATTACTCCCATTACTGTTTCTGCAGGGTTATCGATCTTGACTTTTATGTACCGAACAATCTTAAATATACCAATGAACATACGTAAATCTAACATGATTAATGAGATAAAACAAATAGCAGCCTTAATTATTAAAGAACTGGCAGATAATTACCATATGTGGTTCATCAGTGCCATATTGCACCATGGGTTTATCATCCTTTCCGAGTGGCTCTTCTGAGAGGGACTGTCCAATTACCTTGCAAGCGAGTTTTGGGTCTCTACTGCATCCATGCCCCTCCACATCGAGTTCATTGCGTGTTTTTGAACTTCTGGTACCTCTTCCTGTAGACACCTGTGATCACACAGTCTGGTGTGCCTCTTCCCTGTGGGATTTGTTGCTTCCCTGCTAGATGACCGCTTGTTTAATTACAAGTCGTTAAGACCCAGATGCCGTATCTTTTGATAACCAGGCTGTGGTCTTTGTAGAAGCTGATGGCAGCTCTTTCTGTGGAGGTGCCGGGTGGATTCAAACTGTCAACTTTTCAGTCAGTAGCTCGTAACTTGGCTCGTAACTCGTAACCTTTCCTGGTTAAGAGAGGAAGCAGCATTGTGTGGTTTGGGCCCCAGAGCGGCCTAGGGGCTCCAGCTTGTTCTGAAAGGCCAGCACTGAGGAAGGGGGTCCAGCAGCCACGCCGAGTCCCATCCTCAGCTTCTAAACACACCAAAAAAACACAAAAAACCCCAAACAAACCCATTGCTATTCAGTCAATTTCAACTCCCAGGCACCTTCCATAGGACATAGTGGAACTGCTCCTTAGGGTTTCCAATGTAAATCATTATAGGAGCAGACACCTCACATTTCTCCCTCTGAGCAGCTGGTGGATTTAAACAGCCAACCTTGTGGTTACCAGCCCAATGCTTAGTGCCAAAAGGGATCCATAGCATATAGTCATTTTCTAACCATACATGGCACAAGGAGCATAGAGAATTGTATGGTGCAAACCTGCTGTAACGTGGGGTCCCTGTGAATCAAAATCTATATGTGGCACATAACAATAGATGGCACTAAGGGTTTACATTGGACTGCTAGCTTAAAGATGATCCGTTGAGAAAAGACTTGTGCTTCCACAATGTTAACAGCCAAGAACCCCCAGGAGGCAATTATACTGTGTAACACAGGGCCATCATGAGCCAGAATTCACTTGACACATGGATGTGGTTTTATTTTGAAGTTATGGTATTTTTTTTGGCAAGAATTTTATAGAGATATAATCCATACCCCATACAATCCACCCATTCAATAGTTCTTCAGTATCTTTACAGTTCTGAATCATCATTAAATTTTAGAACATTTCATTTCATCACCAGAAAACAACAACGCATACCCTTTAGCTACCATCCTCCCCTCCCCCTGCCCCGAATTCTCATCAGGCAGGGGGTGAGTCCACAATGGTACCGACACCCGCTGTGCGGCTGTGATCAAGAGATCACACTTACACTCTGCGCCCTTGGGCCGTGAGGTAGTCAGCACCCAGGGGAGCCAGAGAGGGCCAGGCCACATTGTTTGGTGCTTACTGTAATTCCCTCGGGCGTGGCTGAGCTGCAGTTCCGGTTATTAACACGTGGGGGAGCCAGGGCCGGCAAAGAGCGACTGTTCTCTCACTAGTAAACCTTTCCAGTGTGAGCAAAGGTGAGTCTCCCCAGGATGGCACTACAGTGAGGGAGAGCAGGGGGAGCGTGGCGAGAGAGGCTAGAGGAAGGATACTGTTGTGTTCTAAGCTGGAAGGGGGCATCTGAGAAGGCAATGCTCTGAGATTGGCATGGAAGAAGGAGGAGCCTAGGCGGAAAGCTAGCAGAGGGGAGGAGTGGGCCCAGCCTCTGGAGGAGTTCTCCCACCTGGGTACTTACTCTGCCTCCTGGTCGTTCGGTTGCACTGGTTTCCGGGGCTTTTGCTCAAATCACTTTTGAAGGCTCTAGAACGCCAGGCTAAGAAGTTGAAAGTTGGAGTGAGGAAGGAAGAGGCATATGGGGACTGTAAATCACTGCCAAGTTAACTATGGGATCTACTTTCCGCACCCCTTAAGAAACCCTGGTGGCACGACGAATTAAGCGTTGCACTGCTAACCACAAGCAAATGGTTGGAGCCCAGCAGCCAACCAGAGAGCGAGACGTAGCAGCCTCAGAAACCCGGTGCAGAGTTCCCGCAGGGTCTCTGTCCCGCAGGGGCCCATGAGGCCGGGTCCACCGGACAAGGGTGAGCCCTAGCCCATTCCTCAACGGTCTTCCGGAGAGCCTCCGCCTCGTCTAAAGTTGCAGCGCAGGATGGCTGCCTGTGTACTGGAAGTCCGGCGTAACTATAGGCGGCTGCTGGAGGCGTGT